GGAACTGGACTTTTCCTCCTCTCAGCCCAGGGCAGAGGCACTTGGTCACGGTGCTGCCGCCCACCTCGGGAAGCTTGGCCCTACAGAGAACCAGGTGGATGAAAGCTGGGCCACCCTTTCTTGGCTGTAGAGCATCAGCGCCTCTCTGTGAGGCGAGAGTGAGGGCAGGACATGGATTGCCCGGAATGTGAACCTTGGGAGAAGCCAGGGCTCTTCCCCACAGGACACTGGTGAGCGCTGGGCCTCGGGCACTGGGCATGCACCTCAATAAACCCTACTTTCTGGTTCCCTGACTGCTTCTTGGGAGTTGGGGGACTGAGGGGTGGGGGGAGGGCAGGTCTGTGGCCCTGACCAAACCTAGGGGCACACACTGTGGACAGGAAGCCTTTAGGCGTTCATGGGACATGAACAACATTCAGCAGGTTCTCGGTTCCTGTGATGTGCCATAGTTCTGAAAGTACATGGTGGGTGTGGAATGGACATAAGCTAATCAGTTAAAATCAGTAAATTGAATATGACCTCAGATCAGATGCAGCAACCCACTGAATTTAAGCATATTAGTCAGTGGAGGAAAAGAAACTAACCAGGATTCCCCCAGGAACAGGAAAGAGCCCAAAGCTGAATCTCTGCCCCGTGGTGAGGCACAGAAAATGAGGTGAATGAAAGACCCACCTGCCAGTGTCCCTCGTGGGAGGTCTGAGTCCTGATTGAGCCTCTCCACCAAAAATAAGTAAATTAAAAAAAAAAAAATCTCCCACAGATTTGACAGTTGCTGGTAATGGAAATAAACAGGGCGATGTGAAGGACCGACAAGATGGGGGGAGAGGCCACTGAAGGAGACTTTGTTTTATTATTTTTTAAATTTTGTTGAGTTATTTTTCAAGTACAGTTTCTTGTCTATTTCTCCCATCCCAGGCCCACCCCCCCGCCCCGTCTCCCCACCTCCCTCCCATTTCCACCCCCCTTAGTTCTTGTCCCTGTGTCCTTCCTATTTGTTCCTCCAAATCCCTCCCCTTTTTTCCCCTTAAATTCCCTTCCCTCACCCCTCTGGTCACTGTCTCCTTGTTCTCTATTTCAGTGTCTTTGTTTTTATTCTGCTTGCTTGTTTGTTTTGTTGTTTAGCTTCCTGTTAAAGGTGAGATCACATGGTATTTGTCTTTCAACACCTGGCCTATTTCACTCAGCATAATGCTTTCCAGTTTGAAGGAGACTTTAGACAGGTTGGTTGGGAGGTGGAATCTGAGCTGAGACCCCCAAGGATGAGAGAACCCAGAGGAGTGACAACCAGCATTCCCAAAAGACACTGATGGTTGATCAGGGGCTTCTCCAGACCTCATCAAATGATGCTGTTAGAGAACCGCACACATGGAGTGGCTGACCACACAAGCCTTCGAAAGGGCTGTGCTGACTTGGTCCCCCTAACTATCCGCCTTGTGCCACTGGATAGCTCTGGTCAGCCGGAGAGTGCTGCTGACCAGCCTGCGTGCCCTCCCCCTTAGGTTAGCCCAAGAGGGTCTAGCCCCTTAACCTCACCTTCCCAGACTTTCTGCTGACCACCATTCTGGACAAACCATCTTTTAGAGAAGCTGAGGGGCTAATGAGTGCAGTATGTTGGAAGTCCATAGGGCTTGGGGCTTTGGTGAAACCAGTGAGTCATAGCACAGATGAAGGGTCTCTCCAGCCATTTGCCACAAGCGAAGGCCAAGCCACAACTTCATTGCTTCAGTCCTGCTTGCCTGGGATGATGCCCTGGCACAATGACTGAATTGGAAGCACCCCAAACAAACCAGTCACATCCTAGTGTCTTGACGTCCCCTGTGCATTTGCCTCTTTCATTATGGGTTCCTTTCTCATTTCACTCTCAAAACTCATTTCCAGATTCTGGAGTCACCAAAATTTACACCTATGTGTTGAAGACATGATAGAGGCCACCCTCCATCATCCAGACAGCATTTTAAGAGATCAGCCTAGAATAAGAAATTGCAGTGCAAGTCCCAGACACACCAGAGACCCATGTGTCTGCGGTAGATTCTGCCAGTCCATCTGAGTCCCGGTTTCAGCTCTGATAGGAGGTTTATAATAATGGTCTCACGGGGGTTTTGTGAGGCCCTAAGATAACACGTATGAACAGCCCAACACCACACAAAGTGAAGGGGTAATTCCAGGACAGACACAAAAACACAGACAAATAAATCCTCAAATTCGGTGCTGTTGGTGGTGACGGCACTGAAGTAAACCCTGAAAAGGTACTGAAGTGAGTTGTGGGAGGGGAAGGTGGAAGGCTGCTAAGTGCATTAGAAGAGTTTCCGATACGTGGAAAATCTGTGAACAGAGGAGATAAATTGGAGTTCGGTTCAGTGGAGAGAAGAGGGAATGGATTTCCCAACAGACTGACAGGGCACACCTTTGCAGCCCCTGCCTGGGGTTAGAGAATAAAGTACCTGATAGGTATAAAATCTAGGCAAGTGCATCTCTAATGGGGATCTGGCTAAAAGGCTTGTGGTTCTGCATTTCTAACAAGCTCCCAGGGGATGTGTGTGCTGCTGGTCTGTAAATCACGCTGAGAAGCAATTCCGGGAGTTAGGGAAGGCTTCTCCAAGGCAAATTATGCTTGAGCTGACAGCTGAAGGGTGAGAATTTGACTCGGGGAGAAGCCTTCTAGCATAAAGACAAGTTTGTGCAAGGGCCCTGTGGCATTGATAAAAAAACTAAAGAAGTCCACCGTGACTGCGATAAATGTTTGGGAAGTGAGATGGAGCTGCAGAGAGCATGGGGCCAAGCATGCAGGACCATGTCTAAAATATTATCTACCTCAATGGTGAGGAGAAGCCATTGAAGGTTGTGAAGCAGGAAAGGGACATGAACAGATCTGCATTTTGAAGATCACTCCATCTGCACTATATATAACAGGTGGGGAAAGTAGATCGAAAACCAGTGGACAGAGAGCAGCAGCTAGGAGTTGGGAGGCTAAAACAGTCTGTGTGACAGGCTTGATTAATTAATGGTTCTAAGAGATGGGGAGAAGGGGAACACCAGAGAATTATATAGGAAGTAAAATGGACAGGGCCTTGTAAAGGACTGGAGGTCAGAAAGAGGGCACCTTAAGGGCCATCACCAAAAGAACTGGCCACAGTTGGATGATGAGGGTGCCACGCACTGAGGATACACACAGAGACAACCAGGTTACTGGGGGAAGAGCATGAGTTCGGCCTTGGGCATGCTGAGTTGGAGGACCCTATGGGTCATCCAAGGTAAGAAGTCAAAGAAGTGGCTTTAAAGGTCTGGGGCTCAGAAGATAGGTGGAAGTTAAACTAACACTCAGCAGTGACTGAATAAACAAATTTCACCCTCAGGTCACTGACACACACCATCCCCTACTCCTTAGCTGCATAGAAACTCCCTACTTTTGGTTTTTGAGGAAGACGAATTTGAGAGATCTTGCTCTCCTATCCTCTTGATTTGGTCAAATCAAATAAACAAACCTCTGTCCCCAAGCCCCCAGATCTCAGTGTTTGGCTTAGTAGCGCATTAGGCACACAGATCTGACTTTTGGGAGGTGGTTCAGTAACAGGAGCTGGAAATGTAAATCTGGGGACCAGGTTTGTATTGGTTTGTATTGTTTATACCAAAGGTGAAGCCGTGGGGCATGGGTGAGATCCCCAGGTGCAGAGAGCAGTGTGAGATAAGAGAAGAGGAAGCCTTAGGACTAAACTAAGCCTCTGAGGATCAGACACTGAGTGATGATGAGGAAGAGGAGGGTGAGCCTGCAGTGGAGATTAAAGAAGCAAGGGGGAAAAAACAAAACAGGGGAGTGTGAGACTTAGTAGCCAAAGAAGAAAGTATTTAGAGGGAGGGAATTGGTCAACAGTGCCAAATACTGTTGAGAAATGGTGACTCAAGCAGAGAGAAACCCGGAGAAGTGTTTGCATACAGGAGAGCAGCCAGGGCTGAGTAGCGCGTCCATCCCCACGCTCCACGTACTGTCATTGCCAGTACACTCATCTGTGTCCCAGGAAGCCACTAAGCTACTCTAGGTTGTCGTGTCCATTCTTTTATCCCCCAAGCCTAGCACATGAGGCCAACCACAGAAGAGAAGCTTCATAAATTTTACCGATGAATGAGTGGATGGATGGATCGGTGGATGGATGAGGAGGAAGAATTGGAAGCAAAAAAGGAATCTCTGGCATCTGCCTGGCTTAGCTACTATCCTTCAGCTTTTTTTCCTTTTTACCGCAATGGCCCGCAGACCCAGGGAACAGAGACAGAGCCCCATCCCCTCCCTCTCCTCAGCCCTGACCCCCCTTCCTCTCTCTGATGAAGAGTCTGGACCTGCTGACGTGAGAAGGGGAGGAGAGTCTGGAGGAAGGGGAGGGGAAATCGGCGCAAGATCGCAGAGACGAAGGAGGCGCCCGCGGCTCCAGAGCTGCAGAACGGGGTCTCTCCGGTGTCTGTGTCCAGCACCAGCGCACCACTAGGCCAGAGGAGGACAGCGCATCCTTTCGGTGAGGCCCGGCAGGGCCCCTGCGGTCTGCAAGCTGGCTCCCCGGGTGGCCACCGGGACCCCCGAGCCCAATGGCGGGGGCGGCAGCAAAATCGACAGCACTGTAGAGATCACCCCCAGCCCCAACGGAGTAAGTGTCCACGCCCTGAGGACTACGCCATTACCTCCCTGCACCCGGGACAAACGCCTGGCCTTTTCCTCTGCTCATCCTCAGCCCCTAACTGTCTTGCTCGCGCGCGCGCGCGCTCACCCACCTTCCTCCCTTGCTTTTCGCTTTTCTACGATTCAACCGTCTTCTGCCTCTCCCCGCCCCTCCCCCGCCCCCAGCAGGTCGGGACCCTCGGAGATGTGGTGCCCGCCGAGCAGCTGCAGGGTGAGCGGGAGCGCGAGCGAGATGGGGAGGGCGATGCGGGCGGCGACAGGCTGGGCAGCGGTCTGTCGCTGGGCGTGCCCTCCGGCCCCCTCAGCTTCGAGGCACTGCTCGCCCAGGTAGGGGCGCTGGGCGGGGGGCAGCAGCTACAGCTCGGCCTCTGCTGCCTGCCCGTGCTCTTCGTGGCTCTGGGCCTGGCCTCGGACCCCATCTTCACGCTGGCGCCCCCACTGCATTGCCACTACGGAGACTTTGCCCCCAACACCTCTGGCTGGGAGCAGCCCCCCAACGCCAGCGGTGTTGGCGTCGCCAGTGAGGCGCTTGCCGCCAGCGCCGCCAGCACCGCCAGCCGCGTCGCCACCAGTACAGACCCTTCGTGCAGCGGCTTTGCCCCGCCGGACTTCAACCACTGTCTCAAGGATTGGGACTATAACGGCCTGCCAGTGCTCACCACCAACGCCATTGGCCAGGTGAGGCGCCTGGATAGGCTGCGGGTCTGGGGGCAGGTGGGCTAAGGTTCACCAGCGCAGGGCCTCACACCCACTCCATCCCTCTCACATTCCCAGTGGGATCTGGTGTGTGACCTGGGCTGGCAGGTGATCCTGGAGCAGATCCTCTTCATCTTGGGCTTTGCCTCTGGCTACTTGTTCCTGGGCTACCCTGCGGACAGGTGAGGGCTAACAGGGACAAGGCAAGCAGAGATAAGAGGGTGCTAGGAGGCCAGCCCAGGCAGCTGGTGTTGGCAAGAGGCTGAAGAGGAGGCTTTGGACTCAGCAGCCTTCTCCAGATCTCTTGTGTTCAGTGATAGGCAGCCCCACCCCTGTCTCAACTGCACTCCCATCAGGAAGTACTCCTTCCACATCTCTGTTGCATAGGGAATGCTTCACCCCCCAACCCCCATATCCGCTGACCAACCACGTCATCTCCAAAGACAACAGCCCCATCCCCAGTGACCAAAACCCCTATCTCTACACATCAGAAGTCCTAGCTCTTCCTCTGTGTTCCTAGCACCACTAACCACCTGCCTCCCCTACTTTTGGTTTTAATTTACTTCGTAAATTAATAGGCTCATCCCCATTAACAGCCCCTTCCATGTGGACTGTCAGCTCCATCTCAATGGCCTCCCTTCTAAAGATCATCATGTTAGTTCCTAACTATCAACAGTAACCAACTAGCCAATAGTTCATCTACAAACAAATGATTCCATCCTCATAGGCCAGTAGTCCAACCCCCGTAGATCGGTGACCGCAATAGCACCACTCTCCCAGGAACTGGGAGTCCCATCCTCATAGGGCGTCAGTGCTCTCCGATCCTGGCAAACGAAAAGCCTCATTTCTATGAATCAGTGGCCTCATCTCGAAATCAGCTCATTCCCACCAACCAATAGCTCTCCCCAGGGATCAAAACTTCCACCTCCTCTGATTCTGGACACATCACCACTGACCAAGTGCTCCACCTCCATTGGCCGTCCCCATGATTCTTAGACTCGTCTCCACTGATCTACAGTTCTATTCAAATGGAGTAATAGCCCAACTCCCATGGATCAAAGGCAACCCAACATTCAATAGTCCGGTTCTTTAAAAGGAGTACCTAATCTCACTGCCCAGTAGTCACACATCCTTGTCGGTGAATTATCCTAAACCCATAGATCAATAGCCCAGCCTCATCCCCTAAGACCAATAATTTAGTCTCCTAAATTCAGTAGCCTTAGTCCCATTAACCAATAAGCTTATCCCCATGGAAATAAGACCCCAGTCTAATGGTCAGTAGCTTTTCTCTCAGGGATCAGGCCTCTTTCCTAACGACCAGTGATCCCAAGCTTCATTCACCCCCAAAGATCACAGCCTGGCGGCCAAGGATCAGATACCCTGTTCATCATCACTGACCAGCAGTCTAATTCCCCTGGCCTGTGACCACTCCCCCTTACTTATTATCCCCAAGGATTAATAGATTCATCCCTACTGACCATTTGGCCAACCCATATGAACTAAGATCCTCATCTCATGAGTCAATGGCTCTATCCCCAAAGATAAAATGTTTAATCTTCAAGATTAGGGATTATCCTTACTGATCCATAGTCCTACCCCATGGATTAATGCCCATAGATCAGTGGCTCCATCTTCTAGCCAGTGGCCCCGTCCCCACTGACCATCCTTGTGGACTAGTAGACCCATGCCCCAACCCCACGGGACAATGGCCTCATCTCCCCCGAATCAATTACTCAGTCCCCTAGGATCAATAACTCCATCTCCGATGACCAATACTATTTCTGTGCACAAGTGGCCAATGATCAGTAGCTACAACCCCATATATCAATGACCCCATCTTCTCTGACCAGTCTGAGTGAGAGAAACTCCATCCCACTCACCTGTGTCACCAAGGATCAATGGTTCCAAGTCCCCTAAGCAATATCCCCATGCCCTCTGATAGTTGGTCTCATTTCCATGGGGAAATGCCATCAGCACTGTCCAATAGCCCCATCCACAAGAGGCTGGTCCCATCCTTGAAGAACCATAGCCATACACTAGTGCCTAGTTGTCAGACATCACCTAACCCATGGTCCCAATCCCTTCCATCTCCTCTAGCCTCAATCCAACTCTTGTTCCCAAGGCCTCATCCTCATACCTCCGGCTGTGAATTGGGGAGCAGGTCCCACACAGCATTGCCTCTCCCAGGGAGTCTGGGTGACCAGAGGCTCTCCGCACTTTCCAGGTTTGGCCGTCGTGGGATCGTGTTGCTGACCCTGGGGCTGGTGGGCCCCTGCGGAGTGGGTGGGGCTGCTGCAGGCTCGTCCACAGGTGTCATGGCTCTTCGATTCCTCCTGGGCTTTCTGCTTGCTGGTGTTGACCTTGGTGTCTACCTGATGCGTAAGTGGCACCCTCCAAGAAATCCTTCCCCTTGGGGCTCACTCCTGTCTGTCTGCATCTTAGGCCATTCTGATTGTTCCCTAGGGTCCTCTCAAATCCCTTCTTTAGCTCTAAATTTCAGCTGTCCAGCGTCTCAGCTGTCTTTCTGCCTGGGCCTTTGAAAGATCCAGGGCCTTACTTCTTTCCACACCCCCTCCCTTCACTATCTCTAAGGAATTCCTTGCCATAGACTTACTGCTGTCAAGGAATAGAGTTTTATTTAGAAAACAAAAACCTACTAGCTGTGTGACCTTGAACAAGTGTTGATATAAAGGTCCAATAAGGTCTGATGTGAAAAGGCCTGTAAGTGGAAATGTTGAACACCCACCAAGGGCTCTGACTCTTGAGCCCTCCCCCCAGGTTTGAGCAGGAGAGGAGAGAGGACTGAACAATCTCTCCATTCTTTGCCATTCAGAGGTTATTCTGTGGGAGTTGACAGCTGCAGCCTCCATTCAGGGTCTGACCTCATTCTCTCTCCTCCTCCCTCCCTCTCTCCTCTTCTTTCCCATACCTCCTTCTTCCCTGACCTCTCCTCCCCGTTCCTGCTGCATCTCTAGGCCTGGAGCTGTGTGACCCAACTCAGAGGCTTCGGGTGGCCCTGGCAGGGGAGTTGGTGGGGGTGGGGGGGCACTTCCTGTTCCTGGGCCTGGCCCTTGTCTCTAAGGACTGGCGATTTCTGCAGAGAATGATCACCGCTCCCTGCATCCTCTTCCTGTTTTATGGGTCAGTATCACCCTTTACCTGCTATCTGGCCATACTCATCTCTCCCTCTAGTCCTTAGCTCTAGCCCAGAGAACCCCCTCTTCCACTGCCCCTCGTCCAGTCCTGCCCTAGCTCCAGCCACTCAGAGAGGGCAGGTTCCCATCCCTGTGTCAGGAGATGGGAGGCTTCACCATGTACCCTGCAACCCTGCTCCCAGCTGGCCTGGTCTGTTTCTGGAGTCTGCACGGTGGCTGATAGTGAAGCGACAGATTGAGGAGGCCCAGTCAGTGCTGAGAATCCTGGCTGAGAGGAACCGTCCCCATGGGCAGATGCTGGGACAGGAGGCCCAGGAGGCCCTGCAGGGTAAGATACAGGGGTCCTTACAGATGATCTCTCATGTGCCCTTTTGGTGCCCTTTTCATGGCTATAGCTGATCCACCTTCTCCCAGGGTCCCCACCACTCCTGTGGGAGGACCCTGGGTTCTCTGCTGCTCCTTCTAACGGACAGTTCCTCCCTCTCTCTCTTTCTCCCGAAGACCTGGAGAACACCTGCCCTCTCCCTGCAGCATCCTCCTTTTCCCTCACATCCCTCCTCAACTACCGAAACATCTGGAAAAATCTGCTTATCTTGGGCTTCACCAAGTGAGCCTGGGTGTCCGAGCCCAGGGCCAGGCCAGTAGCTGGGATGGGGGCTGGCTGGGTGGGGAAGGCCTGAGGAGCCACACAGAGGGCGACTGGAGCTGTGGAAGGCTGCAGGTGAGGATGCAGGCACCCTTCTTTGCTTTTCCACCCCTTCTCACAGCTTTATTGCCCACGCCATTCGCCACTGTTACCAGCCTGTGGGAGGAGGAGGGAGCCCATCGGAATTCTACCTGTGTTCCCTGTTGGCCAGTGGCACAGCGGCCCTGGCCTGTGTCTTCCTGGGGGTCACCGTGGACCGATTTGGCCGCCGCGGCATCCTGCTTCTCTCGATGACCCTCACTGGCATCGCGTCCCTGGTCCTGCTGGGCCTGTGGGATTGTGAGCATCCTCCCTTCCCCACAGTGCGAGCTCAGCAAACGAACCCTGGCAGAGGTGCCTCAGACAGGTTCAGGCACTGCTTCTGGCACAAGTCTCCTAAAACAAAACCAGCCCCTGCCCAGATCTCCACAGTCCTTCCCCTGGCCACACACCCTGTCTGTTCTACCAGTCAACTAGTGAATGCCCAGAGCCCACCTAGCTAGAGCCATAGGATCAGAGAGCAAGGGGGCTCTGAAGCCAGGGGCTTAGCCAAACACGATCTCCAGCCTCCATTCACACCTCCCTCTTGGTCCTCTAGATCTGAATGAGGCCGCCATCACCACCTTCTCTGTCCTTGGTCTCTTCTCTTCCCAAGCTGCTGGCCTCCTCAGTACCCTCCTTGCTGCTGAAGTCATCCCTACCACTGTCCGGTGAGAGCAGGGGTGCTCCCAGGGGCAGGGCCAGGCCTCCCGGTCTCCCACCAAGGACAGGGCCTGAGGGGTGAAGGTGGGAATGCTGCTGGAGAAAAGTCGGGGTGAGGCCCACAGCTGGAGGATGAGTGCCTACTCCATCTTTCCCAGGGGCCGAGGTCTGGGCCTGATCATGGCACTGGGGGCACTTGGAGGACTGAGTGGCCCAGCCCAGCGCCTCCACATGGGCCACGGAGCCTTCCTGCAGCATGTAGTGCTGGCGGCCTGTGCTCTCCTCTGCATCCTCAGTATCATGCTTCTGCCAGAAACCAAGCGCAAGTTCCTGCCTGAGGTGCTCCGGGATGGGGAGCTGTGCCGCCGACCTTCTCTGCTGAGGCAGCCACCCCCTAACCGCTGTGACCATGTTCCGCTGCTTGCCACCCCCAACCCTGCCCTCTGAGTGGCCTCTGAGCACCTTGGCAGGAGGCTGGCCCATACAGAAAGGTGACATAAGGCCCTAGCAAGGAGATTGGGAGGACTGAGTGAGGAAGGCAGGCTGCCCAGAAGGCTCAGAGGCAGCTCACGCCAGCCAACAAGGAGAGCCCAGAGGGCTGTCCTTACCCTATCTCTTCCCTGCTGCTTTGTGTTCACTTCCTTAGCAAGAGTCAGGGGACAGGGAGAGAGCTCCACAGTGTAAGCACCAGGGCTGGGCTTCATCCTGTGCCCAAAGACATCCTCCCAGACCTCATTCTTTCTTGCTCTATCATTCTATTTCAATAAAGACATTTTGAATAAATGAGCATACCTTAGCCTGGACTTCCCTCCCTCCTGTTGTCCTTCTAAGTACCTCTTGAGGGGAAGGTTTCTCAGTGGAACTGAAACCAATAACAATATCCCTCCACTCCCTGTGCCCCGCCCTTGCCCCGCCCCCTCCTCCCCCCACCCCGAATTAACTTCCAGACAACTACCTCCTTCACTGATTGCTTGCTATGCTTCTAGGACTGGGCTAAGCACTTTACAAACTCCATTTAATCACTTAATCCTTACAACACTGCAAGGTAGGTGTTTGGATCAATTAAAGTTTTTTGTTGTTGTTGCAAGCAATGAAAACTGACTGACTCTAATAAACAAAAGGGAAAATAGGGGATGTGGTGGGGAGCTGAGAGGAGGTTAGAAGAAGCAGAACTAGTCAAAAAAAGTTCACAAACCAGAGGGAGTAGGAACCAGTAATATTTTTTCAGGGCTTCACCTGTGAATGAACTCCAGTGACATTCAGTTTTGGGGTCTCCCCACTGAAGATTCATTTCCAGAGAGCAAGTGACTGGCTAGCTTGAGTAACATACCCCTCCCCTCCGCCATATTACTGACAGCTGGGTAGTGGGAAAGCAACACCTGAGTGCTGTGACCAGAAATAGGACTGGATGTTGTACAGGTAAAAACAATGGGTGCCCACTGCAGCATTCTGCCATCACAGAGGAGAAAACTTGCTCTGAGATACTCGGTCACTTGCCCAAGGCCACAAAGCTAACGAGTGACAGAGCTGGGACACGATTGGATCTACTACTGGAGCTCTTCGCTGACCCATGCTGTGGCCACCCTCCCAGCTCCATCCAAGCTTTGGGTGCTACCCTTGGAAGTGAGGGGTGAGCCTCTAGGCACTCGGTGGTGGAAGTAGAAGACTAGAATTTCTGCCTCTAGGTCAGACCAGTCCTGGCCTGGCTTTACCACTTCAGGCAAATCTCTTAACCTCCAGCTTCCTTCAAGGGTTGCTATGAGGATTAAACGAGACAATTCAAGTGCCTGTTAAATTACTCCACTAGATGGTAACCTCCTTGAGGGCAGGAACTTTGTCTTACTCAACTTTTTTTTTTTTTTTTTTAAGAGAGATGGGAAAGGAGGGAGGAGAGGGAGAGAAACATCCATGTGCAAGAGAAACATCCATTGGCTGCTTTCCATATGTGCCTCAACTGGAGGACCGAACCTGCAACTCAGCCATGTGCCCTGGCCAGGAATCAAACCAACGACTTAGGTTTATCAGACGATGCCCAACTGACTGAGACACACTGGACTGGGCTGTCTTACTCAGCTTTGAAACTCCAAAGTCTGACTCATGATAGATGTTCAAAGTTAATATTTGTTCATTCTTTTAGCAAACAGTGCCTGTTTTACAGATCAGTACCATTCTGGGTATTTAGGGCAAACACCATCCTTCAGAGAGCCTCAAGTCCATTGAATACTCAGAATATTAAAGAGGAGGAAGACGCCAGTGGTTTGGAGTACCAAAAAGCTGCATCCCAAAGGAGGTGAGACTTCACCTAGAGGCAGGAAGCCCTCAGGCAAGAGCCAAGGAGACGGGTACAGGACTCTCAACTCAAAGGATAAAGGGAGCTCTGGCTGATGTGGCTGAGTGGATTCATTGCTGGCCTGTGATCCCAAGGGTTGCTGGTTCAACTCCCTGTCAGGGCACATGCCTGGGTTGTCGGCCAGGTCCCTGGTTGCAGATGTGTGAGAGGCAACTGATGTTTCTCTCACACATCAATGCCTCCCTCTCTTTCTCCTTCCCTCCCCCTAAGTAAATAAAAAAGGATAAAAGGAGAGCATAGGGTGGTCCCTGGAGAGGGGTTTTCTTAGAAAAGTAAAAAATTTGAGGCCAGCATCTCCCAGAGAAGGGGAGGACCGTTACCCACAGATTCTCACAGCACTCGTGTTCCTATCTCCTTCCGCTCCTGCTGATCCATGTCTGAGCCCTTGCTACTGGGCTCAGTGATAATCATGGCACTAGAGAACTCTAATAATCTTTCTCATTTAGTCTCCAGTCCCTTGTTTAACTACGGAGAAGACAGAAATGAGTGAAATTCAGTGGCAGAGCCTGGACTCTAACCCCTTTTCGATGCTCTTTCAATGCCACAGCTCCTTCGCTATTATGAACTGTGCACTGCATGTTCTGTAGAAAGTCTGTGGGGTTTTAACTGATTCCAATATTGACATTTTAACTTTGGGTAGCCGGTGGTAAAACAGAACATACTCTCCGCTGTCTCCAGTGTTCTGTGAGAACCAACAGGATGGGACATAAGAAAACACTTGTACTTTTTGGAAGAGCCCATGTAAGGCCAAGGAGTTATATGCTAATGATACTGTCCAATACACACTGTGAGTAATGTATCAAAGGGGCATTTCAATGAACCCACTCTTTGCATACCATCTGGGAAGAAGGACAGGGAAGGAAAATAACACTCACAATGCTAGAGGAGCTCCTGTAGGAAGGTAAGTGGAAGAGAGCAAGATTCTCTGACGTTGACAGAAGAGGTGAAGACAAAAGAAATGGGAACATTTGTGGAGAATTAATGAAGCACAAAAAGGACACAGACCCTTGTCCCCAGGCAATTCACAGTCTAGGTGGAAAGGGTAAAATATAACTTAAACACCTAAGATATTTTCAGTTGCTCTAAAATTCACCAACTACACAGTCTCATTGGATCCTCGTCATTAGCCCAAAGAAAAAACAATTATTTGGGGGGCTTTTACTGAGGTTTGGAGAAGTAACTTATTCAAGTTTACATGACTGGTAAGCAATTAGAGTGGCCAAATGTCAAGAACTGAGAGCCTACAATCTTCTTACTGTACACCAGACAGAAACTATGTCTAAACACTGTGAACGAATGTATTACTTACCCTGTAATAGTAAGTTTAGAAAGTAGCCCAGGAACTTGGAGTTTTCAGGCCAACAAGGAAATGACTACTCTCCTTGGAGAGGTTGGACTGATTGAAATGAACAGATTTTACAAGTGTTTTTAGTTGGATTCACAACTAAAAGCCATATTGTATTACTGAGGGGGACATTAAAAGGATATATGGGATACATTTATTTTTCAACTGACTGATTACAAAGAGAGAGGAAGGGAGAGAGAGGGAAGAGAGAACCATCAATTTGTTGTTCCACTTATTTATGCATTCATTGTTGATTCTTGTATATGCCGACCAGGGATTGAACCCATAACTTTGTCATATCAGGACAACACTCTAACCAACTGAGCTGCCTGGCCAGGGCCTATAGGATACATTTCTAACCTCAGAAGATTTCATGAAGACAATGAAGGTCACTCCCATTCCTCTCATTCAGTCAACCTGGCCTAGCCAACAAACAACCAATTCTTTCTGATTATCCACTACTGTCTGATGCGGCCTCAGATTTGAGGGAGGGCTTCTATGGTCCTTGCCTGTGAGAGCTCAGAAAACTTGAGTCAAACCATTACAGTCCTATATGAAAAACAAGGGGAAATGCAAAAAGTGCTGCAGCACCTCTGAGAATGGAAGGATATACTCTATTGGAGACAGTCAAGGAAAGTGTCTCAGATATTTGGACTGAACCTTGAGTTTGCCAGAGATGTAAGGGAGGAAGAAATAGTGCAAAGCCTAGAGGCATAACAGAACATGGTGTGCATGGGAAACAAGTATTTACTTTTAACATCCATGGAATAAAGGGCACCTATGAAACACCCACGGCTAACATCATCTTTATCAGTGGAAGGCTTAAAGCCTTCCTCCTAACATCAGGAAAAAGGCAAGGATGTCTGCCATCACCATTTCTATTTAACCTTGTACTGGAGGTTCTAGCCAGGAAATGAGGCAAGAAAATGAAATAAAATGTACCTAGACTGAAAAGGACAGCGTAAAACTCTATCTTTGCCGATGACATGACCTTGTAAACAGAAAATCCTAAAGAATCACACACACACACTCTCCAAAAAAAACCTATTAGAACTAAAGTTTTCCCTGACCGGTGTGTCTCAGGTAGTTGTGGGCATCTTCCCACAAAGTGAAAGGTCGCAGGTTCTATTCCTGGTCAGGGCACATGCCTGTGTTGTGGGTTTGGTCCCAGGTTGGGGCTTGCATGAGAGGCAGCTGATTGCACTTAATCTTAGCCAAAAGGCCGAGAAGCGATAAGAGAGAGAGGCAGCTGATTGATGTTTCTCTCTCACATTGATGTTTCTTTCCCTTTCTTTTCCTATCTCTAAAAATAATAACAAAAAAAATTTTAAAGAACTAAATTAAGTTCAGCAAGGTTACTAAACTTAAACTTGCAGGATACAAGATTAACAGACAAGAAAATCTATTTCTATTCAGTAGCAATGAATAATCTGAAAACAAAATTAAGAAAATAATTTCACTTAAAATAGCAAAAACTAGGAGCATCTGAGATCTCTCTCGCTTTCAGGCATGTAATATGTTTGGTTCAAACAGACTCAAGTAAATGCTTATAAAAATTCTCCACAAGTTTGGAAGTTCTTACATCAACATTTTCAACACTATAATATTGCAAAAAAAAATTTAGTTTTTTTCTCTTTGTGATATACCTACCTTTATGTGAGAGAAAATCAAAAAAGATTTGTGTATGCAAAGAGAATTGCAACCTACTTTTTGTCAATAAAATAAAGAATTCCTTCAGTAATCAAAAGTGGTAAAATAAAATAGCAAAACCCAAAATACGTAGGACTAAACTTAACGAAAGACACATAAGACTCATACGCTGGAAACTACAAAAAACATTGTTGAAAGAAACCAGTGAGACCCTGGTCAAGTAGCTCAGTTGATAACGCGAAGGTTGTGGGTTCACTCCCCAGTCAGGCCGCATACAAGAATCAACCAATGATTGCATAAATAAGTGGAACAACAAATTGATGTTTCTCTCTCTCTCTCTCTCATCAATAAATGTTAATATATATATATACACACACATATTTTAAAAAGAAATTAATGTGAAGGCATACTATGTTCATGGATTGGAAGACAATATTGTTA